TGGCCTCCCATATATCTGCCCAGTCTGTTGGGTCCTCTGCCAGACCTAGGTCTGACACGTACGTGAGAGATCCATTTTTGACGTTTTGGATAATGCGTGTGTAAAGTGCTGAGATTTGTCCCTTTTGAATTGGGGCTTGCATGCATTGTTTCTCGAAGGCGGTAAATGCCGTTGGTCCCGCTTTTGTATATTCCGGTGTTGCTAGGAAGCTTCTGATCTGTATGTGCCTGAATAGGTCAAATGTTTGGAATGGTGTTGTTTGCTGTAGTTCGGAGAATGGGGTAATGTGCTGGCCCTGGATGAAGTGGTATAGGCGTGTGAGGTTGTTGTCTTCGTAGCGCGTGAAGTCTTTGGGTGTCATGCCTGGGGGGAATTTCGTGTTGCGGAGTATCGGGGTGAGGGGGCACAGGGGTGCGATGAGGCCACTTTTGTGTGTAACTTTGTCCCAAATTTTGATTGTGTTGGTCAGTGCTGGGGTAGTCTGTGGCATAGGGGGTCTGGCTTGTTTTGGTAGCCATATGTAGAGGGATGGGTGATCTCTACCGAATATGTCATGCTCAAGGTCTACCCATCGCTTAACTCCGTAAGGGGCGTGCAGGTGTTGGGCTTGCGTTACTTGCGCTGCTTGGTAGTAATGAATAAGGTGAGGGAGGCCGAGGCCTCCTGCCCTGTTCGGTACGTATAGGGTTTGCCTTTTTATACGTGTGCGTCGATTGGACCATATGAACTTGTCGATTCGTGACTGTAGCTGTTTGAAGTCTGGGGTATGGAGTGGGATTGGGAGAGCTTGAAATAAGTATAGCAGTCTGGGTAGGAGGTTCATTTTTACTGACGCCAGTCTACCTAGCCAGGATATCGACATGTTCTGCCATGTGGCGAGGTCGTGTGTGATTTTTTTTGTATGATTGGGGTGTAGTTCTTGGAGTATATTTGGGTGAGGTCTGTTGTTAAGGTAATGCCCAAGTATTGTATTTGGTTAGAGTTTAGCTTAAAGGGGTATGTCTTCTGTAGGTGCGCCAACGTGGGGGGGTCTATGTGTATGGGTAGGGCCTCTGTTTTATCAATATTGAGTTTGTATCCGGATATTGCGGCATACTGCTCCAGGGCTTGAATAAGTGGTAGTAAGGAGGCTGTTAGGTCGGTGATGGTGACGAGCAAGTCGTCTGCGTATGCTGCGGTCTTGTATTCTTCTTCACGGATTTTGAGGCCTTTTATGGCTGCGTTTCGTCTGAGGTTCTGTAGAAGCGGTTCTAAAGATAGGGCAAATAATATTGGAGATAGGGGACATCCCTGACGTGTTCCATTGTGTATGGTGAACATGGGTGGTTGTGTGAGGGGCAATAGGAGACTGGCCCTCGGCGAGGCATATAGTGTTTGTAGAGTTTCTAGGAAGCCCATGGGGAATCTGAATTTGTGGAGGGTTGCGAATAGGTATGGCCAGAGAAGCCTATCGAAGGCCTTTTCTGCATCAAGTGATAGTATTAGATAGGGATCGACCGATATTGATTTTTTAGAGCCGATACCGATACCGATAATCTGCGAACTTTCAGGCCGATAGCCGATATCTTGCCGATATTCTGTACATTTACTATTTTGAATAAATAAACTAATTCGAAAGGTAAATGCACAAAATATACATGCCACATGTAGCGGATGAAGTGTGTTTAGACAGGGGAACTGTGTGTGTTTGTGTAGTGTGTGTGTGTGTGTGTAGTGGATGCAGAGTGTGTGTTTGTGTAGTGTGTGTATAATGAATGTAGTGTGTATATAATGCAGTGTGTTTATGTAGTGTGTGTGTATAATGCAGTGTTTTTGTGTGTGTATGTAATGCAGTGTGTGTGTTTGTGTAGTGTGTATGTGTATGTATGTAATGCAGTGTGTTTGTGTAGTGTGTATGTAATGTAGTGTTTGTGTAGTGTGTGTGTATGTAATGCAGTGTGTGTGCAGTGTAGTGTGTGTGTCTGTAATGCAGTATGTGTGCAGTGTGTGTTTGTGTAGTGTGTGTCTGTGTAGTGTGTGTATGTAATGCAGTGTGTGTGTCTGTGTAGTGTGTATGTAATGCAGTATGTGTGTATGTAATGCAGTATGTGTGCAGTGTGTGTTTGTGTAGTGTGTGTTTGTGTAGTGTGTGTTTGTGTTGTGTGTGTAGTGTGTGTGTCTGTGTAGTGTGTGTATGTAATGCAGTGTGTGTGTCTGTGTAGTGTGTATGTAATGCAGTGTGTGTGTATGTAATGCAGTATGTGTGCAGTGTGTGTTTGTGTTTGTGTAGTGATGTAATTTGTGTAATTTTTTTTAATATTTAAATGTTGTTGTTTTTTGTTTAGTCCCCCCCTAGTGTGTGTTTGTGTAGTGTGTGTGTTTGTGTAGTGTGTGTGTAATGCAGTGTGTGTGTCTGTGTAGTGTTTATGTAATGCAGTATGTGTGCAGTGTGTGTGTGTGTTTGTGTAGTGTGTGAGTGTGTTTGTGTAGTGATGTAATTCGTGTAATTTTTTTTAATATTTAAATGTTTTTTTTTTTTTTGTTTAGTCCCCCCTCCCTGCTTCTTACCAGGGAGGGGGATATAGTATTCCCTGCTGGTCCAGTGGCTTATTAAGTACAGTGGTGGCTCAGCAACAGCAAGCGCTGACTTACCTTGCAAGCAGCTCCTACAGCTCCCTGTGTAAATCTTGCGGCTCTTAGTGCCGCGCGGAGCGTTGCCATGGTAACCCGTGGCAACGCTCTGCGGCCGCGGGTCTCGCGAGATTTACACAGGGAGCTGCATGCAAGGTAAGTCAGCGCTTGCTGCTGGCCCCCACAGGACCGCCGGGCTTGTAATGGGCCCGGCGGTCCTGTTATATATTATCGGCATATCGGTATCGATATTGCCGAAAATACCAAATATCGGCCGATAATATCGGCCAGACCGATAATCAGTCGATCCCTAGTATTAGGGTGGGGATCCGTTTCGATGTTGCGGCCCATATTAGGTCGTATGTTCTTCTGGTGTTGTCGCTGGCCTGTCTTGTGGGGATAAAACCTACTTGGTCAGGATGGATGAGTTGAGGTAGGTAGGGGCATATCCGATCTGCCATGAGTTTGGTGAATAATTTTATGTCTACGTTAAGTAGGGAGATGGGCCTGTAGTGTCCCGGATCTAAGTGTGTTTTATTGGGTTTGGGAAGAAGGCAGACTGTGGCCTGGAGCATTTCCTGTGGTAGTGGGTTGCCTTGTAAGATGGCGTTATATAGGTTGCATAGGTAGGGGGAGAGTGTGAGGGCGAACGTTTTATAGTACAATCCTGTGAACCCGTCCGGGCCTGGGCTTTTATTTGGTTTGAGCGATTTCATGGTGCCCGCGAGTTCTTCTGGTGTTATCGGGTCTACCAGTTTTTGTGCTGCTTCGTTTGGCAGGGACGGCAGCGGGATATGTGTCAGGTAGTGGTCGATGAGTGTTTTGGTGGCGTTTGGGTTCTGCCGTGTTTCGGGGTCGTGGTCGTATAGGGATGTGAAGTAGTTTTGGAATACTTCTGAAATCTTGTTGGGGTCCTCCGTTATGGTCCCGTTTGGTGTGGCTATTTTGTTTATCTGTTTCTGGGCTGTGCGTTGCCTGAGTTTTCGTGCCAGTAGAGTGTCAGCTTTATTTGCTTTGTCATAGAAAAGTTGTTTGGACCACAGTAGGGCTTTTGTCGAGTCTCTTTTCATGTGCTCTTTGATTTCCGTCTGACATTTCGTGATTTTGGCTGTCACTTCTGGCGTAGGTTCGAGTTTTAGTTTGGTCTCCAAAAAAAAAAAGAATGTTAGAATGTAGCTAGGGGTTATGAAGTGAACGTACCTGGTCTTACTAGGCTGCTGCCAGGTGTCGTGTGGGCGGAGGGGGTCACGTCTGTGGGCTTGTGTTTGCTGTTTGTGGTATATGTCCGTACCACGGCCTCTGTCCCAAGCTGGGTTGGGGAGAGTGCCGGGGGTGTGTCGTCTGTGTGGGGTCATGGGGAGAAGACGGCGCTGTCCTCCCCGGGATTCTTCGGTTGTCGTATTTCGCTGTTTTGTACGGTATGGTGGGGGGTAGGTCCCTTATGCGGTTTATGTGGTCCACCCTGGGAAGGGTTGTTGTGCGGTTTGTTTCCGGGGGTAGTCAGGTGGGGGTGTGTGGGGTTGCCTTGTGCTGTTGTGGCCAGGACGTAGGGGGAGTTTTACCCCTGTGGTTGGTTGCTCTTCATGTAGGGGTATTCCAGAGTCCTGTGGGAGTTGACTCTGGTGCAGTCGTTGTTTTATGGTCTGTTGGGGGGGTTTGGTGTGGTGTCCCCTCGGTGTGTGTTCGTTGGGGGGGGGCATGGGGCGGGGTCTGGTGCCCTTGGTGGTTGGGGGTCGTTATGGTGTGTAGCCTGGCGTCTTTGCGTGAGTGGGGCGTCTCTCGGTCCCCTGTGTGGGGGTCTGTGATTTCGGGGTGCACTGCATGCTATCCGTGTATTGTCTCCCTGCCAGTCTCTAGTTTGGGGAGGTCAGTGTCAGGATTACTGTTTGATCCAGCACGTAGAACTGGACAGCGCGGATGACAAATAAGTAACGTATTACCGGTCCTTAGAATGGCCAGATTTAACGTACAAAGAATAGTCAAATATACTAGCCGAGGTCAGGGAACACAGAAAGGGACACAGCGATGAGGAAAGCCAGGAGTCAGGATACCAGAATATAGAGAAGTCAATAAACAAAGCCAAAGTCAAAAACTAGGTAGAAAACTATAAACAGGAACGCGCTCTCGGACAACCACAAGGGAAACCACGACAGGGCACTGAGCAGGCTGAGAACTGGGCCTAAATACCCCTCCTTTAGTTCTGATAGGCTGTAACCGGCCTTTGACCCCAAAGTCAGTTACCAGGTTTCATTTGCATAATTGCTGCTCAGCATTAACCCTTCTGTGGATTAGGTTGCTGCTCGGCACAACTTTTCCTGTGTGGACAGTAAATATCATTAACCACATTTCTATAAGCGGATGAATACGTGACAGTCAGCTATTGGGGGTTGCGACTAGCTGGGGTATCCTGGGTTCTCAAGGCCAGGTGGTCTACGATGGGTGTCGGTGGTCCTGACCATGTATCCGGTGCGGTCTCAGACCCGTAAGTGGACCGTATGTCTTGCTGATGCCATCCGTGGGGCTTCTCAGGGGATCGGTTGGTCGTCCGTTTACTGTGATGGTGTGGGGGATGCCCTCTATAGGGCTAATCGTCAGAAGTCGCGGTGGTCGTGGATGTGATGGCGTTGTCTGGTGGGTGTCTGGGCGGGGGACTCGAGTGGATTGCCCCGTGGGCCTTGGGTGAGGGGTGGTCAGACGTCAGGTCGAGGTCTTGAGGTCCACTGTGCGTGGGTGGCATTGTTTGCCAGACGAATGGTTTTACAGAGCATTTAGTAGAGTGCCAATAACACATTGGGTGACTGACCTTTAGCAGTAGTCATTAAACATTAATCTAGTCCATAACAATAGAGCATTTAGTAGAGTGCAGATAACACATTGGGTAATAGACCTGCAACCGTAGGCATTAAACAGCATTCAATTCCTAACTGAGTCTCCCCTCTGCGCTGGGCGTCTGGGATGTTGGGGGTGTATGCTAGATGCCTCGTGGGCCGGGTGCGTTATTGGTGGAGGGGGTGGTGTGCTTTTTGTGCTAGGGGGGTCCATTGCCCTCCGGGTTGTTGGGTTTGCAGTGTAGTTGGTGGGGTGTGTGTGGTACCTTAAGTACGGAGCAGGCGGTTGCAGGGAATAGACCATCCACTGGCTGCCCTCCCGCGTTGCGTTGCGTCCCTCCCCCCGGGTACCTTCCATTGGTCTCATGGTAGTGTGATCAAAGGAGAGCTGATGGGGGTGAGGTGTTTCACACCAACATCTCCATGAGTCAGTTATGAAATGCAGAGTGTAAAGGTTTTTATCGTGCTGCTATAAATCTCGTTAGTGGCCTTCCGCGACTACACAGGCATAAAGAATTTTCTATGAATTAAATTATATAAAATCCACTGCTCGCTTGTCAGTCATTGCGGGACTATAAAAAATTCCATGAGAAGGCGTTCATTAGAAATGTGCAGCTGTGCCTTTGAAATCAACGGGAGAATCATAAAAAGCAGCAGTTTCAGTTACTTCTTTGTCTGTAGATAGGAGCTGCCTATCTCAGAGTTTTATAATGAAAAGGGGAACTGAAGTTGTTTGTATTTCCCTCCCCTCTCATTGCGAGTTTATATATCCCGCCCTGGCTTATACCCCTGTAAAAGGTGTGTCATTTGGAATGAGTGTATTCTGAATCATGGTCTGCGGTGTGATGCCCCCTGGAATGTTTGGAGCAATATGTTATATGCATTGCAGAGTCCATGTGGGTGTTTGCAGCCCCCAAGGGTTCGTAGTGCCCCTGTCAGTGCGATCTAAGTGTCCCCTATTTGAGTGTCTAGTGGTGTATTGTTGGGGGTGCTGGTGGGTGCCCCGCTAGGTTAGGTGGGTTCATCCCAATCTCCCGTCCCCCGGTCAGCCGGGCTGTGCTCGTGATCCGGGTTTTCGGCGTGTCTGGACCGCCGGTCCCAGTCATGTTGCGTTGCGGGTGATTTGGGAGCAGGTATGGTGGACCCGTGTGGCATCTGCAGGGGCGAGGGGCGTTCCCCGTTATTGAATAGGTGTGGGGAGGGTTATAGGTCTGGCCTTTGGGGATCTAGTTTGCGTGCCGTGAGCTTAGTCTCACGCGTGTAGGCTGTGGCCGGGCCTGGGAGTGGGAGGGGGCCCCAGTGGTGACTGTGCCAATTTCTGTTGTTTTATGTTAACTGAGTTATTCCCTTTGTCTTGATTATCATCTTTGAACAGTGTAATAAACAACAAATAATAAACTGGATACTTAACGGTTTAGAGCTGGTTTAGGTTAGGAGGGACCCTTGTGGTATAGTCAGACCCCTCGGTGTAGCTCAATTCATATGTCCATTTGGGGTTGTCCTTTAGGTGCGGTGTAGGGTCTCGACTTGGTCTGTTGTCTGGGCGGACGAGATCTCAACTCGCTGTGTCTGCTGTTCTCCGCGGTTGGGTCGGTGACCGGTGCTGGTTGGCGTAGTGAGAGACCGATGTGGGTGGCAAAGTTCTGCATATCCGTGACTTGGTGAAGAGTGTATGTTTGGTCGCTCTTTTTGACGAGAAGCTTAAAGGGGTGGACCCACATGTATCGCCAGCCCTTCTCCGTGAGTGCGGTTGTAAGGTGCTTGAGTTCCCGGCGTTTCTTCAGGGTGGTCGGTGCCAGGTCCTGGTAGAAGTGCAGTGTGTGCCCCTGGTAAGTTGGGGGGTTATCTCTTGCTGCTTTCATGAGTCATTACTTTATAGGGAAGTGCAGAAGCTTGGTGATGATGTCCCTGGGCGCATTTAGGTTGAAGGCTGGGGGACGCAGGACCCTGTGCGCACGTTCAGTAGGTAATATTGCCTCCGACTGGACCGATTCGGGCAGGCCCCTAATTCTTATGTTTTGTCTCCATGATCTATTATTAAGGTCTTCTAGGCCATCCTCCAGGTAGTGTCTTGTAGTGTCTCAATTACTCTGGAGTGTGTCTTGGTTGTGGCCTGTGTTTCTGTTAGTTGTTTTTCCGTGTGGCTGGTGCATGAGGCCAAGGCCTCAATATCCTCTTTGAGACCTGCGATTTGTTTCTCCAGGGCGGCCGTTGTGTAGGCCTTGATGTCGACGGAGGTCTCCCTGAGCATCCTCCTGAGGTCTTCCTTTGTGAGGGGTGTTGTTTGCTCCTCTGTTGGGTCGTACCCGTCAGATTCGGAGCCTGATTCTGTGGGGCCTTGTGATAAAGATGGCCGCCCGTCGTCCTTACTGCGGAACATCGTGGCCACAGACGGAGTGGTGTCCCGTCTTTTTTTGTTGCCTCCCATGGGGTAGGTAGATGAGGGGTGTGTGGGGTGGCGGTAGGGTAGGTTGTGGTGGCGAGATGCCTTATTTATATCGCTGATGGTTGCGGATAGTAATCCCAGGGTCGGAAAGCTAAGGGCTCACGCGTCCGTCTCCATGAAGGGTTAGGCTCCGCCTCCAAAGTTATATATTTGTATGTATTTTTTGGTATTGCATTTAAGATGGCGATTTGTCTTTGTCCTGGAGATAATTGAATTACTTCTCAATTATCTCCAGGGCAGAGGGGAGGAAACCATATTGCATTGTGGGAAGAGCTTGTGATTGTATGTCTGAAACGTGCCCACGTCCATCTGTAATTCCAGTCTCCCATTTGGTCCCCTAGGGGAGTGTCCACCAAGTGGGAGACCTGCATAAATACAGGCAGGTAGCCCACAGTAAAGCCAGATCCTGTTTGACCCTCAATGCGGAGCTTCTGTCTCGTTATTGGGGGGATTTCTTCTTTGCGCTTAGAGACTGCTGATTGGAACCAAAAGCCGCTTGGTGGATATCGTTGTTCGGCGGCTAGCAGCAGTTTGTGGATTTCCGTTCGGGAGTTTGGAGCCTTTCAAGGGATCCCGGTCGGGAGATTGCCGCTTCCCCTGAGGTTGGTTCATATACTGCAGTTTATGCGAACGGAGTTATTGGTATTGCAGAAGGGGAAGGCTAACTAAACGGCATTTTCGTTTAAAGACACCAGGGGTGTCTTAACAGCCATGTTGTGAGATCAATGTACGAAATTTGAAACGAATGGTTTTACTTCATTCACTTGAGGCTGTTCGGTATTTAGGGATTAAGGAACTGATTTTTATGATTGCATTGCATTTGCAATGCCATTCGACATACAAATGCTTATAGTGAGTGTTCGGGAGTTTACTAATAGTGCCAATACATTTTCACGCGATTGATCTGCATTTGACGATTCGGGAGTTATTTTGTGAGTTTTAGGCGTAAATTCAAGGAAATAGAGCATTGTTCAATGCCATGTTGTGAGATCAATGTACGAAATCTAAAACTTGAGGCTATTTGGTATTTAGGAATTAGGGAACTGATTTTTATCAATTCAATTCATTTGGTTCAATTAAATTGTGTCGCATGAACGAATGAGTTTATCCGAAACGAAAACAAATGGAAGAACGGACGAATTTCGGTTCTGACTAAACAAATTTTTCTTTTCGTACGAATACATTCGTACGAAACAAAAATTTCTGAAGTGCCCAAGTCTACTACACACCCACCTCACGTCACCCCACAGACCGCACAAAAACAGAGGATGAAAAGCACACCACCTAACATGACCCTTCAGTCCCCAACACCGGCCATCCAGGCCACAAACCCCCCATCCTCACAAACTACACGAAACATAAGTTAGAACAGGGGAAGGAGAATTTGGACTACTCTAATGCCAAATGATATAAGCAACTGCAAGTAGCTAAACCAAACTGCTAACTGTATCCACACTATGTATTATTACATTAAGCAAATGTCGATTTTTTTTTTTTTTGTACTGAAACACAACGAAACCTACTTTGTGGAGTATGTTAAGCAATCTGTATCCCCAGATTCTTCTTTCTGTATCCCTCCCCCATAGCATAAAATCTTAAAAATAAAGAATTTTTTAAAAAAAATATTTGCTGCTATTAATATATGTAGAGCCAAATATTTTTGTAGTTTATTTAAATTATGCCAATTTAAATACAGAAGATACATTTCCTGATTCCAGGTTTTCTAAAGTGAATTAAACAATTTCCAGTATTTATCTAACAAAGGACAAGTCCACCAGATATGAGCATAGGAACCTATTTCTATCTTACATCTCCAGCAAAAATGTTAACATTTCCCATACATCTAAGTGCCATCTATACATCATTTTTATACTGTATTTCTAAGAGATTCAAACAGTTATGGATTTTTTAAGATATGGCATGTGACAGACCTCCTGGCACCCCAACTGCTTCCTAGTGCTTACCGAGTACCACAAGCACCGCACCAGACACCATCAGCACTGTAATCCCCATTTACAGCTTTACAGCTTGGTTGGGGTCTTGCAGTCCTCCACCCACCCTGGACCCAAGACCAGGATCCAGCTTCCAGTGGGTAGACCTCTCCTCCAAGAGAGTGTAGCAATATGCTCTTAAAAGAGCAAGTGATTATAATTCCAGGGCAATATAGGGATATAGCAATCCCCAGAGTAGATCCTGGCTAATCATGGCAATCCCCAGATGTTTCCTGGCTAATCATGGCAGCATCACTTATGGGTAGCTCCGCCCCAATCCCCAGATGTTTCCTGGCTAATCATGGCAGCATCACTTATGGGTAGCTCCGCCCCAATCAGGATCAGGACAGGACAAAATCAATTAATCCGGACCAGACTGGGTATAAAAGGTCCCTCCTCCTTCTATCCCACAGTCTTTTTTCCTGT